GCACGCGCTGGGGTGTACGGTTTAAACCATGTCCTGGATGTACGAAGGGCCAGATCCATTCGCAGCACGGTAAGCAAGTACCAGTGTCTTGAAGTGGATTCTAGCAGTTACCGGAAGCCAGTGAAGGGAGCGGAGGAGCGGAGTGGTGTGGGAGAATTTAGGAAGGTTGAAGACCAGACGAGCCGCTGCATTCTGGATGAGCTGCAGAGGTCGGATGGCACATGCAGGTAGACCAGCCAGGAGGGAGTTGCAGTAGTCTAGGCGTGAGATGACGAGAGCCTGGACCAGAACCTGAGTCACTTTCTGAGTCAGCTGGGGACGTATCTTCCTGATGTTGTAAAGCGTGTATCTGCAGCAGAGGGTTGTAGCAGCGATGTTTGCAGTGAAGGACAGGTTGTTATCTAGGGTCACACCCAGATTCCTTGCAGTCTGAGTCGGGGAAACAACTGAGGTGCCGATGTTGATTGTCAGGTCAAGAGTTGGACAATCTTTTCCCGGGAGGAAGAGCAGCTCAGTCTTGTCAAGGTTGAGCTTGAGGTGGTGAGCAGACATCCACTGAGAGATGTCAGCTAGACAAGCAGAGATGCGTGCGACGACCTGGGTCTCTGAGCGGGGAAAGGACAGAATTAATTGGGTGTCGTCAGCGTAGCAGTGGTAAGAAAAACCATGCGGGCTAATGACTGATCCGAGCGAGTTTGTGTACAAGGAGAAGAGGAGTGGACCAAGAACAGAGCCCTGAGGGACCCCCGTAGTTAATTGACAAGGGTCGGACTCAGACCCTCTCCAAGTCACCCTGTAGGTACGGTCTTTCAGGTATGAGGTGAGGAGGGAAAGTGCAGAGCCTGAAACTCCAAGTTTTTGGAGAGTGCGAAGGAGGATCTGATGATTCACCGTGTCGAATGCAGCAGACAGGTCCAACAGGATGATGACAGAGGAGAGGGATGCAGTTTTGGCAGTGTGCAGTTCCTCCGTGACAGCAATGAGAGCAGTTTCTGTGGAGTGACCTGCCTTGAAACCAGACTGGTGCGGATCCAGAAGGTTGTTCTGATTGAGATAACAGGAGAGTTGTTTAAAGACAGCGCGTTCAAGTGATTTAGACAGGAACGGGAGGAGAGAGACAGGCCTGTAGTTTATAACATCAGACGGGTTGAGAGTGGGTTTCTTTAGGAGAGGGTTTACTCTTGCCTCCTTGAGACTGTTTGGAAAGTGACCAGAAGTTAGAGAAGTGTTGATGAAATGGGTGAGAAACGGTAGAATATCAGGAGCGATAGTCTGAAGGAGGTTTGAAGGGATAGGGTCCAGAGGACAGGTGGTAGGGCGGGCAGAGGTAATGAGGGTAAGAACCTCACTTGGAGAGAGAGGGGAAAAGGAGGTTAGTGTGTTGGTGAAAGGAGGGTCTGGTGACCCAGCGGTGAGTAAAGGTGAGTCAGAAAAAGAAGAGCGAATATCATTAACCTTTTTTTCAAAGTGGGTAACAAAGTCGCTTGACAGAAGTGAGGAGGGGGGAGGGGCTTTTGGAGGGTCCAAGAGGGTGGAGAAGATGGAAAATAGTTTTTTAGGATTGGAATAGGAAGATTGGATCTTATCTTGAAAGAAAGTGCTTTTTGCCTGAGAGATCGAAGCAGAGAAAGAGGAGAGGAGAGCCTGATAGGTTAGGAGGTCATCACGGTGTTTGGATTTCCACCATTTCCGCTCTGCTGCCCTAAGGACGGTTCTATTAGCACGCAGTGCATCATTTAGCCAGGGAGCCGGAGGGGACTGACGAGCCTGCCGAGATGTCAGAGGACAGAGCGAGTCCAGAGTGGATGAGAGAGTCATCGGGCAGTCCTTAATAAATCTTATCTTATCACCATGGATGTGCCTGTATTTAACACAAAAAAGCTTACAGCACCGGGTATTCCCAGGCTGTCTCCCATCCAAGTACTGACCCGGCCCGACCCTGCTTAGCTTCCGAGATCGGGCGTGCTTTTTTTTTTTTTAATCTTTTATTATATCAAAACATAAACATATTTACATTTTAAAAACAAAATAGTCCACCTTACTAATCCAAAAAAAAAGAACCCCAAGGCTTCCTACCAAATCAATAGCAATAACATCTCAGCATTCATTAATTTTTCTCCAACATACATATAATCTTCTTTCTATTCCAAACACAAAAAGTAGTGCTATCCATCTCCACACTCCTGCATATCACACATCCATGACAGATCAACCAGAAACATAGCGTTCTTCAATTATGGCAGTCACATATTCAAACCATCACCCACTATTAACACATATCCAGGGCTCGACATTAAGGACTGCCCGATGGCCCGGGGCCATCTAGTATTTAGCTCGGGCAATGAAGCCTCACCTGCTGGTTGCCCGATCTGGCAATCTATTATGCCAGTAGCATGCAGCTCGCGGATCCAGTAATGAGTGACCCGACAGTAAAACTAAACATATCAATAACTAGTTTAGGTAGTTTGAGAGGTAATTAAAATAGCTACGTGTGATATTCTAAACTGAAGTGTGTGTTTTGTCCGCTCACCGCTGCAGGTGATTATGCAGAGCTGCGTGTCGACTCGTCAGCAGCAGCTGATCTCTCTCTCCCGTCAGATTAGACTTTACTCGCGTTTATGTCCATATCGATCAGAGCTAGTTCTAGCTAATGATAGGACTACCTGCTTATTAAAAGACACCTAAACAATAAGTGTCGCTATGCAACTGGGTGAGGCCACAAAGTATAGCGCAGCATTATGCATTTGTTTACATGCCCACCGGACGCACAATCAACCCATACAGGACAGCTCTTTCTTTAGACATTAGAATTGACTATTCTTGTCTGTCACATACTCTTCTTGTCTGTCACATAAGTGGCTCAACTGAAGCGGTATTGCGCTAAAGGGAAATTATTTTGACCGAAGAGATTTAGATTTGCCAGCAAACGGGAAATCTGACGTCGCCATTTTGTGTGCTTCGCGGATGCGCTCGGCTGCTCTCGACTGCTGCTCGGGTCTGCTCGGTCAGCTTCCGGATGAGGAGGCATTCGACCAACTTACAGTAGATAACATTACAAACATTTTTAACAGGGGCCATAATAGTGTAAATAATGTTTGTTTTGGCAGTTATAACTGAATGTAATGTTTTCTACTTTTTTACATCTGGGAAGGCATTTGCCTTCATCAGATGGAAAGTGTCTTGACCAACAACTTAAGTATTTCTTATAGCTATGCAGGGCATGCAAGCGAGCAAACACAAACAAACAAGTGAAATGAAGAATAAAATTGAAATTGTACAATATATTGTGGTGGTTCATCTTATAATTCAGTCTAGAGAACCAGACAGCATCTACAGTAAGACCTGCAAAAATCTAAATGTTCTAGGGTGAGGCCCCCCAAACCCTTCGTGCGTCATTTCGTCCGCGCGCATTTTTCAGGGCAATCTCTATTGGGCTCAGGGCCATCTGTAAATTAGCTTAGATTGCCCACAGGGCCATCTCCCAAAATCCTTAATGTCATGCACTGATATCACATCCCTAAATTACATATCATTCCCAATTCCCACTTTCCACATCTTTCCGAGTCTGAGCGATCGCCCACGCCTTTTGCTCTTCCCACTCCTCCTCCCACTCCTCCACCTTTTCTCCCTCTTTCCCTCCAAACGGCCTTCGCCTAATCCTAAGGTGATACTTGTCCTCATCGCTTTCCTCCCAAACACCCTTTTCATTAATCACCCCTATGTCTACTTTAACCCTTTCCCAGTTCTTCATTTCCTCCACCTCCGCTCTTGCCTCTTCCCTTTCCAACTCCATCATCTTTACTCTCAATTGCTCCTCCTCTCTCTGTCTCTGCTCCTCCTCTTCCTCATCTTCATCCATCCTATCCCCCCATCCCTCCCCCCCCTCCTCTAACTCAACCTCCTCAACCTTTCCCTCCTCTGTTTCCTTCTCATCCTCATCCTCGCTATCCTCCTCTATCCCCAGCTCTTCGTCCTTTCCCCCTTCCTCCCTTACTTCTTCACATCCTCCCCCGCCCCTCAGTCTCCTCCCTCTCCACCACTTCATCATTCTTCTCACTCCCCTTCATCTTCTTTTTTACCTTCCTCCCCTTATCAGGCTCCACACTCTCCAAGCCTTCCCCCCCCACATTGACCGCATCATCATTCCCTTCATTTAACATCACATCATCATCATCATCATCATCATCATCACTCCCATCCTCTCGTGGCCTTTTTTCCCCTGCTTCCCCCTCCACATTGACCGCATCATCATTCCCTTCATTTAACATCACATCATCATCAACACTCCCACCCTCTCGTGGCCTTTTTCCCCCTGCTTCCCCCTCCCCGCCCACATCCTCCTGATTGGGGGTCGGGGTTGAGAAGTGGGGCCCTCCGGTGGGGGGAATGACCCCTCCTTTCCCTCACCCTCCGCTCCTTTGTGGGGACCTTGCCCTCCCTCTTCCCTCCTCTCTCTCCCCATCCCACAGTTCCTCGCTAAATGCCCCGCCCCGTTACACCTATAGCATTTTATGGCTGGGCACTCTCTGAAAATATGCCCAGGTCTGAGGCAGTTCCTGCAGACCTGGCTCTGCCCATCATGCTTTACCTTAAAAAACTCCGCTCCCCCCACCACTTCAAACTTCGTGGGGAGCGTACCTCACTCCCGAACTCCACCCTCAGGTATCTTGTGCCACCCGCCACTTTTGTCCCCGGCATGAACCTTCTTATTACCCTTGACATAGGCTTCACCCCCCACTCCACAAGTTTCAACAAAATATCTTCATCCCTCCTCAAATACACCGGCAGATACATGAAAGACACAATTAAGTCCTTCTTTAGCAGTTCTCGTGCTTCCACCATTACCCCCCTTCACCATCAGCCCCCCCAACAGCATTTCCTTCCCCTCCCATGTGTTTATAGTTACCTCATATTCCCTTTCCCCTTTCACCCCAAAACTCTCCCACACATCTCCTGTATCCCCACTAATAAGTCCCCCATTGTTAAATGTTTTACTCCACCTTCCACGGAAACTTTTACGGTGAGCTCCGCCAGATAATCCACATCTGCTGCATCTTTCTCCTTTCCTTCTTCACCCGTTTTCTCCTCTCTTTCATTCTTCTCCTTCTCCTCGTTGTCTCCGCTGGGGAATCCCCCGTCCGCTTACCTTTTTTCCCTTTCTTTTCTTGAGTTATTCTCCGTTTTTTCCTCTCCGCCCGCCATTTTCGGGTTCTTTTCGCCCGTCGACGGCCTCTCTCCCGACACACCTTCTCCTGCCTTCCTCTTGGCCTCCTCCGCTTCCTTCTCCGCTCTTTTTGCATAAACGTTTCCCAGCGAGAAGACTTCCTTCCTCTTCTTCTCCTCCGCTGCCACTTTCTCCTTCCCAGATCCCGCCGCAGCGCTCATAGCTTCCTCCTCAACAGCTGTGGTAGCGGAGTTGGCGGGGCTAAAACTCCCCTTTTCCACAATTTCTCCGTCTTTCACCACCATATAATTCTTCTTCTCATTATTCCCCTTGAGACTGTCCGTTTTCTTTTTGCTTTTCTCTCCTTTTCGTCTCTTTCCTCCTCCGCTGTTTTCTTATCCTCCGCCTCCATTTCCTCATTCCAGCTGCTGGGGGGGGGGGGGGTTTCGTCCAGATAAACCCAATAAATATTGTCCAAATCTCACTTCTGCTTCGAAAACATCACAAACAATTCCGCAGTTCTTTCTCCGTACTTCCAATCCGCGCCCTTAGTGTCTCAGGGTGGTATGGCCGTAAGCAAAGAGTTTGGAGGGATAATTGGAGGGCTTCTTATAGCTGAGAGGAGCTGGATGTCTCAGGGCCGAGTTTGGGTGCTGAAAGGCGGACTGCCAAACAACCATGTCGATACCCATCAGCTGCGGTAGCGTGGCGTGGGAAAAAAATTAGGGGAAGCCAATAATACGTCCTTTCTTTTGGGTCGGGGGTGTGGTGGTCAATGTAATAACGTAACCAGATGAGTGATTACAGCACCGGTATCATTTTACACACATTTGTATCAGATGCAGGACTGAGGATTTACACACGCCTGTTATCTAACCGACAGGTCCGCACGCACTCTCCAGCCGAAACTCTAATAAGCATTCATTCACAAACTAAATCAGGAGACCTTTAACGTTTTACGTCCGATTCGCTCCTTTGTTCCTCGCTGTTGTTATGGAAATCTAAAAACCCCAATACTGTAGAGTACAAGTCAAAGTGATCAAATCAAATAAATGGTGAATCAGACAGAGTTGTCTTTCTGGTGATGTTTATTCGATGACTCAAACAAACATCAGATACAATAAAATATATATATATATATAGACACAGGTCTCACAGAGTATAAAATATGTCTGCGCGAGTGTGCGCAGTTCAATATGATAGCAAAGCTTATAAAGGGAGGAAAATGGTGGGAAGGTAAGAAATCTTCACATGGTCACATTGTTATTAGACACCTGGCCTTGAGCTGTTGAAGTTCTCGTGTGACTTTGTGTGAGTCAACTCAGTAGCCAAAACAGCTCTGTGGCCTTGAAGTAGTGTAGATAGAGGCAAACAGCACATCTAACCAAATGAGAAGCATTTGGTTTAAACATATCAGGATATAATACAATTTCCACTACACTGTACACAGCTCCAGTTTGGGCATCGGCCTGGCATCAGATTGTATTTGTTGTTGCTGCTGTAGCAGAAGTTTAGTACAATTATTTTTGATGAAATACTCCAAATCTCCACCCTCCATAATTGCACTTGCTTCAGTTGCTTGCTACTTTCTAACGGCGGTGAGAGTGATGCAGTGACGCTATCTATCTTCTATCGATTAGATTTATTTTTCGAACATTATAAAAGTAGGGTAGACATGTGGATATTATCCGACTGAACACAACGTGCATTTATCCAACAGGTTCGTTTTCCACAGACCTTATTTCGAGCTATTTTCCTAAATCCTATGGAGAAATACCATTGCTTTTTTGTCGAGGGAAACCGAGCGCAGCTTACTTCCGGGTTTTAGGACGCGTCACTGCAACACTAAGTTGATGCGATTTGATTGGATTGTGAGGCAAGGGAAGCCAGCCGCCTCTGGCTTCCCTTGGCATGGCCCTGACCAATCACAGGTTGGCAGGGGCCTCACGTGAGCCTCATCTGATTGGTCAATCCCTCAATTTTTTCTCTCGCAACAGTGAGTGCAATCTACTGTTTCACCATAACATCTAGAGGGGCGCTGTTTCACTCTTTGTAAAATACTCAATGAGAATGGGGGAGAGACGGGCCGGCAGCAACACACAACAAAGGAGAATTATCGAAACAAAACAAAGTGTTTTTATTTAAATTTTAACTACAATCCGAAAAATCACTTTTACCCAGCTTTCACACACTCATTCCTGTGTAAGAAAGCCATGTGCATCACCCTGGATCTCTGCCTGTGAGTGTGGGACCCTGCTTACAGCAGTGAACCTGCTGCCAGCATTACAAACATATTAATCAGGCATTTTAACACTATTCACCAGAGGTGTGGACTCGAGTCACATGACTTGGACTCGAGTCAGACTCGAGTCACACATTTTATGACTTGAGACTCGACTTGACAACATCACAAAAAGACTTGCGACTCGACTTGGACTTGAACACCAATGACTCGGGACTTGACTTGGACTTGAGCCTTCTGACTTGAGGTGACTTGCTACTTTAATTCAGAGGTCTCCAACACGCCGATCGCGAGCTGCCGCTAGAAGAGCAGACTCCCGTCGGGGAAAGCAGAATCTTCAGCCGCTCTTACTCTTGCTGAGAATCCTTGCAGGCAGGGGCGGGTCTTTATTTAGCTGGGCCACCATGCGGCCAATCATATGCGACACACTAGGATCATACCATTATGTGAAAGAAGGGTGGGGGGCACAGCATGTGTATTGGTACAGGCCAGCTGCACAGAGCTACGGGGAGACGGGGAGCCGGATTGAAATGCAAGCGCGTCGGAAAAAGTCAAGAAATGAGCGAAAACCGAAAAAAGAAGCAACATCTGGCTGCTTTTCAATGATATTGGAGAAAGCAAAGCTGAGTGCAGGATTTGTAAAATGAAAAGGTGGGAGAAGTTCAGACAATTAAAAAAAGTTACAATCAGGGTTCCTGCGGGGTCTTAACAAGTCTTAAAAAGTCTTAAATTTGATCATCAGAATTTAAGGCCTTAAAAAGGTCTTAAATATGATTCAGAAGGTCTTAAAAATTATCGGATTTGAAAGGTACTTCTATGTTGCGATAGCGTCTAAATGTGTTTTGGGGGAAATGTCCGGGCTGCAAAGTAACCAGTAATAGCCTTTCAGTTCCCCCCAACAATTTGTATTGAAATAAATCAACATGGAACCAGTAATCACTAACTTTGTTTCCCCCGGCCCCTTATTGGAGAACACCCAGCTAGTAACCTAGCAACCAAGCTTCAGCTCATGTAGCCTATCTTCGAATCTACTTACAAATAAATATGGGGAAGTGTAAGTTCAACCGTATTTGGTTGGAAAACATCTAATTTAGTGCTTGGTTGAAACCAGTGGAGGGAACGTGTTTGAAGCCCGCTGCACCTTTTGCAAAAGTAATTAGTGTTTGTTTTGCTAATGTAGGGTTAGCTAGTGCAGCAGCAGCTAATGCAGCGTTAGCTAGTGGAGTGTTAGCTAGTGCAGCAGCTCCCGCAACAACAACACCGGGGGACCTCCAGGCGAAGTTTGGGTCTACGTCAACCCTAAAAGCGGAGGTGCTGTAGACGCTAAATACCGCAGCTAAACACCAATCATACAACCGCAACGATGAAATAGTGTAGCCAAGGCAGCAGAGCTCTGAATATAGCTCTTGTCACTCTCTCTCAGAGACACACACACACACACACACACACACACACACACACACACACACACACACACACACACACACACACACACACACACACACACACCACACACACACACACACACACACACACACACACACACACACACACACTAGGGCTGCTCGATTATGGCAATAATCAAGATTATGTTGGTCAATAATTAATATCACGATTATTAAATATGATTATTCATTGACTTTGAAAACATCCATTCATTGAACTTTAAAATAAATAATAATTTGAACAGTATCTTTTTAACTGTTGATTACCCTGAACGTATAATTCAACTGAAAAACCAATACAAAAATTAATTAAATAAATGATACATTACTAAAAAATTCATTAGATCAAATATGTTGCAGTGCACTGTCACAACCTAGCAAATCAAAATAATCGTTTTTTCCGATTATGTTGTTTTCGTAATTGTGGTAAGTCGCCTATTGCCGGCCATGGACATTCTTCCCATTGGGATAATAGACCTCGTGGGCCTAGTATATCCAGGAGGAGGGACCGACTCGACTTTTTACCGTCGCTTGCCAGTCTAATGAGTACTCACACAGCATATGAGTGTGTATGCATGCATTGGACAATAGGTGGCGCTCTTTTCACCAGTTATAACTTATACTGCATGGGGGGTGGCCCAAAGGCAATATGAGGGCCACTTTCCACATATTACACAGTAACACATGTATTCATTTGCTGTGTACTTGTACTTATGGGGGGGGGGGGTGTCCGTCAACCCAATATGGGTGCCACTTACCAAATATACACAGTAACACATGTATTCACTTGCTGTGTGTACTTGTAGTTATGGGGGCGAGGGGGACTGGGGTGTCCGTCCACCTAATATGGGGTCCTAATTTTTTATTCAGGGTCTTCTAAATAGTGCCCAGATCAGGAATCTGAAAATATGGGAACCCTTACCCACCCAGGAAATGTTTATTCAATTAAATGTCAAACTTTCTCACAAAATCCTCTCATAAGCTAAGGGTCGACAGGCTTGTGGTGGGGAGGGGCAGAAAATGAAAAAATTGAAACAATGTGGTTAGCGCTCCGAAACCTTGAGAGTGTGTTGGTTAACGTGCGTGGAACCCGCTTGCAAAATTTGGGGACCCTGCGACCTTCGACAAGGTCAAACCGAAGTCAGAGGTCACGTTTTCATGCCGTACTGTGCCCTTTACGGCCCAAAGAAGGTCCGACCGCTTTGAGCTTGCTCTCATTAGAACCGGCTCGAAAATTACATGCAGATTGATGCCTCTGCTGCTCCTAATGTCAAAGGTTACGGCTTGAAATGTAACAAAAATCCAAAGGTCAAAGGTCACGCTTCCATGCCGTACGGTGCCCTTTACAGCACAAAGGAAGGTCCGACCGCTTTGAGCTTGATGTCATTTTAACCGTCTCGGAGAGCAGATGTAAATGGATGCCTCTGGTGCAACAAAATGTCAAAGGTTACGGCTTAAAATGTAACAAAACCTTCCGTTAAGGCCTTTTGAGAAGCTGCAGTGCTGCAT